AATTTGCATCACAGAGAGCAAAGCAAGGGTGATAAAAGTATGTAGGAAAAAGCTGTCACAATGCCTCTTTAAATATGTTCCATTTTACAATGTGTTACAAATGTACCTTCTCTCTTTTCCAACACTGCATCCGGTGAAGCAGTAAGCTCATTTTCAAACTCTCAGCAGAAAAATGATAAAAACAATAATCTCAGCTTTGGAGCATGGCCTAAGGGCTAAAGTTATCTACAGCTACTGACCTGGAAAATCAAGACCCAAATAGCAGGGCATTATCACCATAGGTAAAAGGTGGCAGGGGGAGAAGCCAGCTGAGCACAGTGACAAGAGGCTGGATCAGCCGGGCCGGCCAAACCGGAAACAGAGAGGCACCCAGACAGTGGCTACTCCCATGGCACCGGTGCTCATGCACAGATGAACCCTGTCAAGGTATGGTCAAGATCTCTTCCGTCAGTGATTACAATGGTCCCAAAGCAGGACAGACTGGATGGGTTGTAAATGGGCTCAAAAAAAATGAACCTTTAATAGTATGAGGAGGATTTTCATGAATTGAGGACAGAAAAATGATGGAGAACATACAGCTTGCAGAGAACAGAAACTGAAAAGAGAGTGTAGTCCAGAAATTCCAAGGGGAAAAAAAATCAACTTTGGCTCAGAGCTATTCACCATTAAAGACAACCTTCATTCCTCAAGATCAATTTTATTTTACCACCTGGTGTATTAAAACAACATGCTTATTTTACCAGGTTTCATCATGGCCGTTCTGGAATTTAAAAACCACAGTAATCTATGTGCCACAATAATAACTTAATCTATTATTTGGCTGAACAAACTGCCAAATAATTTTTAGAAATCTGAAAGCCTGTTCCATTCAGTTGTGTGGATCTGTGACAATACAATGTTCTGTTCCAGGGGTCAGCTAATTAATGATACAATGGCAGAACTGAATGATTGTGACAGACCGTGCGAACAGCAAAGCCTCAAATATTTACAATCTGGTTCTTTGCAAAAAAAAAAAAAAAAAGAAAGTTTTTCCATCTCCTGGTCTATCCCATTATATTGTACTTTTTCTCTTAAGTTGCTCCAAGTCCTTTTTGAAATGAGCTAGAAATGTCAATGAGCAAATACTCTCTCTCCAGTAGTAGCTCTCATTCTATTACCTCCTTGTTGAGATATGTGGGGGTTTAACGAAAGAGAGATCTAAGGCTGGCAGTCGCTGTCTGCCCACTGGATCTGTGTGTTCTTTTATCCAGTATGTTGATGGGGGCTGTGACTTGGATTAGCATGGAGACTAATTGAGCCAAGGCTGGGAACAGACATGAAGGGAGATCCTGAGATGACTGCATCTCCCCTAAGTGAGCAGATACATTAGTTCCACCCCATCCTATCCCTCCACTTTCACCAAGATGTCACCCGTGGTCACCTCCATTGGTCAGTCTACAGATTTGTCCCCCTGTAGACGTGAAAATTTGACTTTTTTTCCAGGGCCCAGAGATATGGCCTGGATTTGTGCTGGTTTCAAGGGAATGATGTGGAAGACAGTGAACAGAGTGGGATAAAACTGTGACCACCCCCTCCACTAAAATTAAAAACAAAACGAAGCACTTGAAAGCCCCATACTTGGGGGAGGGGACCTCCACTGACTAATGTCCATTCTCATAAGACATCTCACCCTTGAGATCATTATTAGAAAGTGGGGTGTTCTTAACCTCCCTCTTTTTCCCTCAGGTATTACTTTTATAAGTATGCCACAAGATTATAAAAAGTACAAAAATACCTTAAAATCTTAAGACACTCTGTGAGAATGTAACAAAGACTCAACAACAAATAAATTACTCTTAAATGTGACTTGGTGGTATTTCCTCTGTAATGCAGGACAATCACATTAGAGGACATGGGAAAAGGGCAACTATAAAGAGTGGGACCAATGGTACTAACTCCTCTAAACAATCCAAATCAGACTGGCTGCCTTCCTGATATACATCACTATTTACTGCAAGTCAACAGTCTGATGTACAGTCTGAGTGAGTCATAAAGAAAAACCCAAGTGCATTCTCAGCCTATGGCTGTCCTGGTGCATAAACAGTCACTGCCCATAGAAGAAAACGGAATAACCAGACTTCATGATTTTAATATTCTTTATCTCTACTGGACATGCCTTTCAAGAGAGTGATTATATCATCACAAACAGTAGGAGCAAATTAGTTCACTTTCAAATTCACTGTTATAAAGAATTCAGTCTAGCCCTAGCCAGTTTGGCTCAGTGGTTAGAGTGCTGGCCTACAGACTGAAGTGTCCTGGGTTCGATTCCAGCCAAGGGCATGTACCTTGGTTGCAGGCTCGGCCCTGGTCAGGGTGCATGCGGGAGGCAACCAATTGACGTGTCTCTTTCACATCAATGTTTCTCTCTCTCTCTCTCTCTCTCTCTCTCTGTCCCCTCCACTCTCTCTGAAAAGCAATGGAAAAAATATCCTTAGGTGAGAATTGAAAAAAAAGAATTAAATCTAATAATGAATTTCTAGATTGTTCTCTACGTTATGCTATATAAACTCAAATGAATTCCTAGTGAGTGAAGGGTGAGGAGTGCAGGAGGAGATGAAAACGAGGCACAAAGTAAGACAAAGTCTACATTTAAATTCTTCAAGGTGCCAGGTGATAAACAATAAACTACTCGAGGTCTGAAATTTCTTATGCCATGGAACTAGGAAAAATGAGAAACCTCTAAATTAACCCTGCAGTTCCCTCGAGAGAGAGCAAACTCTGAGATTCTGTGGCCTGGCTCCTCGACCCGATCCCGGCCGAGCGCGTGTCCAGAGCCGAGCACCTGCTCCTGAGCTGCCCGCTTACAGGGACACTCCAGCGGAGTGTGGGAGGGGCCCGGGAGGGCATGCCCTCTCTAATGGTACCGAACTTAACTGACTTGTATAAAGAAAGAATTTGTTTTTGTCTTTAGTGGGTGTAAAAATGTATAAGAACAAATGTTCAAAGGAAGCCTACAGAGGGGTGATCGGGAAAGAACAAACCTGCTGTGTGTGTTTTATTACATGTGTTAATTACATATGTTAATTTGTAGCTTTGTAAAGTCCATTGTTAAAAATATTAATTAAAAAGTGAAATAAGTATAAGTACAGTTGTAACCAGTAGATTACGTCACCTTCCTCTAGAGCCCTAGTTGATAACAAAGATAACAAATATTCTATTATTTCAATACCTTTTATTTAAAAGACTGTCCTTTCTCCACTGAATAACCTAAGTAACTTAGGCAAAAGCCAACTGATCATGTAAATGTGAGTTTAAATATAGAATCTCAATTCTCTTCCATTTTCTGTTGACTATTTTTTTCTATTCAGTATTATTTTCCCTGAGTTTGGGTCACACCCTCCTGGGTTACATGTCCAGTAATCTTATTAAAAACTAGCCATTATATGCCATACCTGGTAGTGACTCTATTCTAGTTTGTTCTTCTGAAATATGCTGGCTTTCCTGTTTTATTATCTGATGAACTTGCCTGGACTCAAATTGAAAAACTTGTTTTTCTGCAGAGAGCTGAATTTTTTGCTCAGGTTTTTTTGTTTGTTTTCTTTTGCCTGCATCTCTGGGGGATTTCTCTTGTGCCTGCATAGTCTGTGATCAGCCAATGATTTCAACAGAGGTTATACATGGACAACTTAAGCCAGTGAAGTGTTGTCTACCCTCTGCCACCCAAACTATGTATGGGTTGAAGAATTCATTCAAATTCGCAGCAAATAAGTCTCCCCAGGCTTTCAATTTTGCTTGTGCTCCCTCAGGAGTTCCATATACACATGCTGTTTAGCAGTCAGCCATGAATGTGAAGAGAGCACATTATCTCAGCCCTTATATAGCTCTTGCTTTTAAAATCACCCCCTTAAATTTCTAGCTGCTCTGATACTCTCCGAAACCACATCAGCCACCCCTAGCCAGTACA